CAAAAATTTCGCGACCCATTCTCGGGGGTATTTGAAAGAATTATGTTTTCATCGTAACTATTAGAGATAAGTATGTTTCTCAGTTGTAATACTTTCTCAACAAAATCATTAAAATAGGTGCAAGTACGTGCAATTCTTAAAGTTTCTGTGTAAACTATAGCTTTTTTGATATGGATGGAAACATTAGAAGTCATGTGTATATATTTTTTTACTTGAAAATGAAAACTATCTGTCTTATTATACACTAGCTGATCTACCCGGTCTTGCCCGGCTATTTCAGTGGACATATAGCCTTGCTTTAAGCTACAGATTCAAGACTTTTTGTGGTCCTTCTGCCTGTTGTAAGGCTTAGTAAAGACTACTGCCCGGCAAAGAAGCAAAAGCACTTTTAGATGTGCGAGCGCGATAGCGCATGCGTATATTCACTGTGACATTGGGCTTTATTCGCTTTGCGAGTAATGAAACCGAGTTGTGCCCCTAGATGCACTTCCGCCTGGCAGTAGTCTCAAGCAAAGTAACGTGACATGGTCTCATCATCTGAATTGCGAACGTCCTCTGGTAAGCTGATTGATCAGTGCGATCGCAATATAAACTTTATTCTCAGCAGCGGAGAGAAATGGATCAATAGATTATGAAGGACATATTAGCAAGGAGTCAGCACTAAAGCTGCTGAGTTCTCCACCACATTGTTGTAAATTCGTACACAGACATGTGGAAACTTTTCAAATTCTTCTGCGAAAGAAGAGTGATTCATTTTGACATGCTCTTATAACGTAACGGTTATCTCCCTCATGTCGCAAATCACTTCATTTTCCGAGGATATCACTGCTTCGCGGTATGTTGGAGGCAAGCTGTCTTTGTTACTTGCTTAGTCGCCCTAACTCGTTATATGCGACATTGTTTCGAAACCACCCACCAGATATTTAGCTGGCAGAAGGCGGATTGCAGATTGCAACAAAACTCAGTTAAGCACCAAACTACAGTCTGCCCCAGTCCCAATCATGCCAAAATTGGCATGGCGGGAGTCCGCGTCGCTAGGGTTTTGCGTTACGCCTACACCTGCTTGCCTGCTCTCTCTTCAATTACTTTGCTCTCTCCGACATTGCGCATATACAGCTCAAGTTACTCGCGCTGCGTGCGCGCAAATTCAGCAAACGGTTTGGCCTGGTCACGATTGGGGCAGACTGTAACGCTCATCTCTCTCAGTGATCAATCCATTTTTGACATATCTATTCCCTGCAGAAAGCAAAAGCTCTCTTTTCTCCCTCCTATACTTGTCGGAAAAGTTGCCCGTTCAGCTACGATTGTGACAATGCTCATCGCCGCTATCGTATCAGAATAGGTGCGTCTGCGACAATGAGAGGGTACGAAAGGGACACAGTAGCATTTAAATTGAAAAGTTTGCATTTACGCATACGTTGTATACACCGAACTCAAAGCTTACCTCAGTAAGCTTCTTCTAACCGAGCTCCTTAGCGAAGAACAAAAATGAGGCCTACTGTATTTATTTGGATGTAAATGACTTGTTTCGTTGATAAAGGAATCATTTTCATTGCAAACAGTTAGAAATCAATAAATCGATAGAATGGCCCGGCGAATCGCCGCGGAAAGTAGCTCTAAACATCCGCCGGGGTCGAAAACATACGTGTGCGAAGTTTCAGCCGGATCGGTTCAGTGGCGCGCGTTTCTATAACGAACGAACAACTAAACGAACATCCTTACAGACATTGAGTTTTATATATATAGATTTTGGTCACTATCTTGTTATTAACAATTGTAATGTTTAAGTCGAGATAATTACAGTTGAATTTATCCTCGTGTGTAGTATCTAAATCTAGTTTGTTTTCATATACGTTGATGATCGTATTATGAACTTCAGTTTCTGTGCTGTTATGTATGATTAATAAATCGTCCATATATCGGAATACATAAAGGTGATTATTGTAATTGGTTTTCTGAATCAAGTATTTATATTCATACCAAGATAACGTGAGATCTGCCATTAACGGGCTAAAATTACCTCCCTGTGGTACACCAACTTTTTGTTTTAGGATGTACGTACTAAATCTACAAAAACTGTTGTCAAGGATATAATCTATGTAATATAATAAATCAGAAATAGTGTAGTATCTATTTTTTGATTTTGTGTTTATAGTATCGGTATAATATATTTTATTAAAACCATTATACGTTAAGTATTTTTTGTTTGCATTTTTGAAGCATAATGAAAGTTCTTTAAGATTTGTTTTTATTATGCTATGTGGTAAACTAGTAAACATATTAGTAAAATCAGCCGAATATATTTGCATGTTGTTTATGTTGATATTCGATAGTTTGTTACTGATATCGATATTGTCTATAGACCAATAATTATAAGAATATTTTTTGTTTTTATAGCTTGTACATAGTTTTTAAAATGTGTTTTGATGTATTGAAAGAGATACCTTAATTCTAGAGCTAGTGGTTTAATGCTACTATGCGTAGCACCAGTAATGAATCTAAATTTGATAGGGTTTTTATGGAGTTTTGGTAGACAGTATATTAATGGAATGTTACTTATATTTTGTGATGGTAATTTGTTGCTATCGCAAAATTTTATGTGTTTTTCTATTATATCATTGGCACTTCCTTTGCATAGGTTATAAGTTTCGTTTGCATCAAATATTATTTTTTGTTGTTATAAGCGATACCCAATTCTTTCATTATGGTTTGTATAGCTTTATGCAAAATATACCAAAATTATTATTTGCTTTATCTAATGGACAAATTACGAAATGCTTTTTAAAGTTTTTGATATATTTATTTTCAAAGTTGTAATTTTGTTCGTTTAGGTATTGTTTATTATTCAGTTTTCTTTTGTAAAGAAGTGGTTTGAATTTGTGTTTGAATTTTTTTAGAAGAAAAGTTTTTATATTTTTGAATTCTTCATTTTTAATTTTGTATTTTTTGATGTAACTATTCATAATGAGTTCAACTGTTGAGTTAATCCAATCTATCATTTATTTTTTATTGATGTTGTTGTAATCGGTATTTGGTACCTTTACTCATTATAGATTTTAACTGTTTGTCTTTGATTATCTCCAAATTTCCGGTAACTATGTGTCCATGGTTACTGTCAACATATTTTTTCATTTCTTGCTCTTTGCATTTGCATTCCTGGGTTAGAATTTGGTCTATTCTATCTAAATTGAGTTTAGCAAGAATGGAGTTATAATTAAAAATTGTTTGAGAATGGATTTTTGTATTTGTATACAAGTCTGCAGGGATTGTAATTGTTATTGTTATTTTTGAGAATGTTTTTTATATAACTGTTATTGATGATTTTATTCAGATTGACTTCGTCTAATATACTGTGAATGTATTCAACATTGACATTGACACAATTAATGTTTTGATTTTCTTTTTTGACTTCATTGAACAAAAATTTGCAAAGTATGCTTAAAATAGTTGTCTTTATATTTTGTTCAACTTTGTTCAAAAATGTGGGATCAAAACATGCTGTAATTACCTGTTTCAAAAAACATTTTTTAATGAATGAATGTATCGGAATAAGTCTTGTTGTGTATTTTTATTGTTGATTTTTTCTAAGAATGTATCTAATGTTTCTTTGTTTTTATTTTTATGTCTATACTGGCTGCGTTTCGGTTGTGCTAAAATCGGTAATTTTCGAAAATTAGGGCCTGCGAAGAACTAGAGTCTACGGTTATACGAGGTAGGACAAAAGTCTGGGAGCCGAATTTGCAGTGTTGTAAGTCACGAAACTACTGATAATTTCAATTCCAATTTTGTGCCACATGATACTGATTATCTTCTACAAAACCACACTTTACATGACTGAAAATGCTCGTCATATATGTTTGTAAGAATTGGTTTTATCAAGAAAGTGCTTCCACAGAGCGCAAAAATCAAGTTTTTCAGTATTCACAATTTATTTCGTAGCCAAAGATTCTGTGAACATTCTACAACAATTTGATGCATACGATGTAGAGAAGGCTTTGCGCCATCACATCGTAGTAGTTACGTTTACCAGAAACTATTCTTTCGAAAACGCAAAAATAAAAATTTAATATTACCTGCGTGCCAGTGGCCATTTGTCTCTAAATTAAAATCCTAAAGCTATAGGAGCGCATCAGGTACCGAGTATGAGGCTGTATACTTTCCAGGAGTCTTCTATATAAGCATCCATTTAAATTTGATCGATGAGCAATCTCAGTTCTTTTTAGATTGGAATTTTTCGCTTTTGTTCGCGCAATCACATCAAATTTCCAGTATGCGAGTACATTGCCTTCACTTGAAATTCCAAATTTTTTTTTAAATTTCGCAAAAAAATCTTAGTAAAATATATTGTAGCTAAAAGCTTGCTTTATCAAACTGCGCATTTGTCTAGTGGAAGAAACAGATATAATGAAGTCATGGAATAGATTTCATTTCGACTGCCTGCGTGCCACGAAAGACAGACTTGCCAAGATTATGAAGGGCCTTTGAAACCAAAAGAGACAATCTCAAAATTTGAGAGCTGCGCTATATTTGTAAAGGTTCGGTTTATGTGTGCACCAAAGTTTCTGTTTCTAGGTACTTTCCTTCTGATTTTATCTGGAAAATTACTATGCTCCCTGACTTTTGCCCCACCCTGTATTTCTAAGGGATTGTAGTACACAATTAGGTAAGGGAAACAGCTTAGCCTCGATTTTGTGAAAACTTGAATTTTCGTTTTTCAATCTCTAAATGAAGGTAAAATTCAAAAACGGTCATAGGGCTTGCTTTGCTCTATTGAACGTTGCCCTAGACCCCCAGTTAAAGTCTTTCAAGACATATGTTGCAACTTAATATATAGCAGTGGCGGTAGCTTTCCTCCGGAAGGGGAGGGGGGGGGGGGTTAATTATTTGCAAAAATGAACAAGTCACTTGCACTTTTCTATAATTTAAGTAAATTTCAGAAATTTCGCTACTCATCGGCGGGGGGAGGATAGATAGATATGAACACAGTCTTGCAACTTCAGATCACTCTAAGGCGGCGACTTCGTGGAAGTCAAAAATGAAATTTGATGAGCTTCTTTTCAGCAACTTGGGCGAAATTGGAAAGTAAGATCACTACTCATTCGTATTATTTTTTGCGTCTAATACTGTATGTTCTAAAGGTACCAGAAAATCCAGTTTTTTCTCGTATGCCTTCCAACAATCGTCGTCTCGATGCACGCGCTCAGTTGGACCCTGGCCGCCGTCCCGGTGCCTTATCGGCCAGTTTTTTCTTTTGATGTTTTGTTTCTTTTCTTGTTCATTTTCTTCTCCTTGTCATCTTCTTCAGCTTTTGTAAATGGCTCCAGTATCTTAAGTTAACTATTCAATATTTTTTAAGATGTGCTCTACCATCAGAAACTCAAGACTCACCTTACTACTCGAACGATTCTCGTCTAAAGTTAATTGAATGCAAAGCTTGGGATGATACTCCCGTTCCGTTGAATGCATCCAGAAGTCCTAAAGTCCATGTGGGTTCCTGTTAGATCATTTTTTTACTTGACTTTCTACTATTTTTTACTTAACGTTGAACTAAGTCTACGTAGTTTGTAACTCTTCAATAAACAATACCGCTTTTGAGCATAGGAGACTCAAAACGCTTTGCACCAATGCATGAACAAGTTCGAAAATGGGCTCGACTGGTGTATTGTAATCTATTTATCTAGCATCGTTTTGTAACCAGGGAGGACCAGATTCAAGCATTTTTAGACGATGTATGCGAAGCAGCCTAGGGTCTTTTAGTCTCGGAATATCAGGTTGGCACACAAGTTTTGCAACTTTGTCGATAACTTCTCTTTCAATGAGGCCCATTCAAATTGTGGCAATATGTGGATTCGGAAGTGACCTATAAATCTGCTACAGAATCGAAGAAATACAAAAAATTAATTGGGTTCGGCAGAAACTGTAGGCAAAATGTTCTCAGAGGTTAACTACTGGGCCCAGCGTTAATGTAATTCAAAGTCAAAATCGAAATCTAGCTATCTGAACTCGAACAAGTCGCTTCCAAGTCGCCTGCGAAAACTATCAAAAAGAGTCGGAACCGTCGAATTCCGGCGGAACTTTGCACAATGGAGTAATTTGACATGCTGAACACGAAAATCATATTCAATCGTCATCAGGATTAGAGATTAGCCCATATGTTGTAACTCAACCTATTTGCAGCAAAATAAGCTTCTCACGCAAAATGAATATGGTTTCCGTAGTCAGGATGTCGCATAACTCCCCTAGACCAAGCTTTATCCAAATCCGTGCCAATTCTTTTTTCTATTCCATTGTCTTACCGTAACCCTCACATGCGATATCGGAATTCGGCAAAAATGGCTGCATTCGTTGCTCACATGAAATCATTACAATACTAAAAAATGGAAACGCCATATTCAAAAAGGCAAAAGTTACGAGAAAAAGCTGCAAAACTTATATGCCAACCTGATAGGTAGATGTTGCTACGTTTATACAATTGAATATCCATTCTGAGACGGTTATTTGAGATGTAAACAGCACGTGTTGACTATCCACAGGCTCTGCACGCATGATTGGCAAGTTGATACATACTGTTTACCACACTAAGCATATTTTACCACTTACGAATCAAGGAAACATGCCTGGGCTTGTTGAACATGCTTGTTACAGTTGTAACAGCTTTTCAAACAACGCACGCAAAGCGTCGTTTGACAAGCTCAAATACCCTAGTTTAGATCTAGCGCTTTCAAATACCTTATTTTGCAAGTTATCTTGCTAAAACAAAATACGACAAAGTTTAGCGCTGTCTGTACATGCCGTTCTTTTCAACAGAATTATAACACCACTTGTTAAAAAGTCACAAAATGCTCCTTTCTAAGTTCAAGAATTATTTTCGGATATAGCAGTCCCCTTGTGTTTTTAGTGCTACTACAAGGAGAAATGCGAAATCGGTGGCGAGACATGCAGCAAACATGTTTTCGATAGATCAAGAATAACGTATTCAGCGATGGACCGCGTAAGAAGACACGTTTCAGATTTGGAAATTTGCTGATCAGGAATCTGCAATTTCTATCACTTAGTGGAGTTTCATTTCAGTGGGATATCGTTTGTGCTCGTGGTTCCATCCGTGCCCACGTGCAGCTGTTTTACTACATCGGTCAAGCAATAGGATCTTTTGTGTTTGGCATGCTTGGAGACAGGTCAGAACCCAGCTTTTCTGATCTTTCTTTTGAAATTTGTTTTTCTTACCGGCGTGTAAGTTAAATGCTTGACCAAAGCACCTATTGTTCAAGGAATTAGCGTAATGAGTATAAGAATTATGTTTTTACTTTATTTGTCCACAATCTTTCCAGGATTGGACGTAAGAAGGTTCTCATACTTGCTATAGCCACACAAGTGATATCCGGTTTACTCAGTGTGGCTGCTCCTACTTGGTGGCTATTTGGATTCCTGCGGCGAGTTTCAACATATCTATAAGAGTGACTAATAAATGAAAGACTGCCCATTTTAGAGCGTTTCTTGGTCTCTCACATCCCGGGATTTACGTTACTGCTATCGTCATCGGTACAGAGCTAGTAGGTCCTAAGTATAGAAAAATGGCGTCCGTCATAACCGGTGCATTTTTCGCTCTTGGGCAGGTAAGTATTTCGTAATCTTTTATCCTTTTACTCCTCTTCCTTCGGATTATCTTGGGTCTCGGAGGAATGTTCATTACGCATTACCAAATCTTACAATTAGTCATAACTTTATCTGGACTTGTATTTCTGACGTACTGGTGGTGGGCGAACTTTTTCAGCATCGTTTTGCTTTACATCTCTCACCAATCAATTTTAGGGTGGTACCGGAAAGTGCTCGCTGGTTAGTAACACAGGGAAGATATGAGGAAGCCGACAACGTTTTACGGCATGCTGCGGAAGTCAACGAAGTAACGTTACCAGAAAAATGGTATGCTGATATACCCATGAGTTCATGTGGAGTTGAGGATAAATCGTGGTTGCTAAGGTGGGAGCAGCTGGAGTCCGAAAATGCTCAAAGGAAAGGAAAGGAGATGAAGAAGTATAGAGCATGTGACTTACTGAAAACGCCAGTATTAAGGAAAAGGGCTCTAATAACGTTCTATTTATGGTGAATTCGCATTACTGATTTTTTTTTTGATTTGAACAATCCTTAAGATCTTTATCACTTATCTGGTGCGCAGTCGTAATCTTTATCTACTTTTCCGTTCTTTAGAGTGTTTCCATGCAATCCTCGAAATTTAACCTACCTGATTATCTCAGTACGTTTTAGGCCATGTGTTTCTATGTTCTATTATGGTATGGCCCTGAAACCCAATGTGCTGGGAGGTGATATGTACATAAACTTCATATTTGCTGCACTGGTGGAAATTCCAGCACTTGTAATAGTCTTCTTGGTCCTTGACCGGTGAACCCCAATCACAAAGCATTATCTGTTTTTCCACTCCTATTTCCTCGAAATTTGGAGATTTTTAGAATTGGTCGTTGTATTGTCACTAGCCTTGGGTTTTTTCTTGCTGGAGCTTTTTTACTTATAAATTATTTCATGGGGGACGATGGTTAGCAAGTCTTGACTTTGTGATTCAGTCTCTATAATTGAATGCTTCCCCTTTTAGTGCCATATGCAGTGCCAATTATACAAATGATGATCTCCAAAGGTGCTATCACCGTTACCTACACGGCCGTATATACGTACACACCTGAGCTGTTTCCTACAGTAATCAGAAATACAGCTACGGGTCTATGTAGTATGGTCGCACGTGTTGGAGCAATAACGGCAACGTACCTCTGCTTGTGGATTGTAAGTTTACTTTCGCATAAACTTGATGAGTTTTACACTTTAAACCTACTTCCAAAATTTTACTTTTCAGTTGCTTATAAAATCGTATTCATTAAAGCTTTCTTTTTTGAATTTCATCAACCTTTTCTTTTTCAAAACGTTGTTTGTAGGCGGAACTACCGAATGGCAAAGTTTATATGATCATTCCGTTCGCAGTCATGGCTATCACAGCAGCCGTTCTCACGCTTTTCGCCTTGCCAGAGACGATGGGCACAGCATTGCCTGAAACTATTGCTCAAGTAGAAGGCGAAGAAGAACCGTTACCACAAGAGCTCCAGCCTTTTCGGCCAAAAACGACAACGGAGGACGATTCAAATCTCAAATCTGGGGAAACTGAACATACTAATGATAAGCAAACACAAAAAATATCTGCCATTGATGAGAATGACTAGTCAGTTTAGTTGCATGGTCCTTATAGGTTCTTATACGATTCTGTTGATGGGAACTTCTTTAATCGCTTCTTCTGCATTTTCTCGACTACGAGTTTTCATATGTTTTACTAGCACAAGAGATCTCCAAAGAAATAATGCCTTGACCATTTTTGCTTACTTTCATTTACAGTAAGAAATAACTCCGTGGGGATATGATCCGGTGATATTGTTTAGCATTTTCTCAAATATTCAAATGCTTTTAGTGTAATCACTTGTTTAATTATAGTCAGCATGTATCTTCTATCAATTTCAATTCGATTTGCAAAATTTCATTAAGAGCTGTATCATGAACATCTATGCACTAATGAATTAATCGATTATATGTCTAGATGTGGTGTACAATCAAGAAATGTGTCTCAACTTCACACCTGGATTTACTTGGCATCAAATGCACAAACATTAAATTTTGAACAACCAATCAAACACTGTCTTATCAAAAGTTCACAGTTCTAGTGGGATTGACAGTTATATGATTGCAGTCGGTCAACCGAGGTAGGAGCCACAGTCAACCTATAAACTGGTTCAGACAGAGTTAGCTCATGCGGCGAACTGAGTGACGCCTGTTATGATCTGGCGTCTCGCAAGCAAAAAAGAAGAATTCTATGCTCATCACCGTTGTAACAGTGATAGTCAAAATCAGACAAAAGCAAATGCTAAATTCTTACTAAAAAAACGCACGATAGTCACCGGCCACTACGTCTTTGCAGTCTAGCCTTAGGCCCCGGGCGGACTTCTCGCGATTTGATCGTCGCGACTGAATCGCGACGAGACAACTGTTACAACATCATTCCGTACCGATCAACTTGCATTTCGGTTGTGATACTTTTCCAGCCCGGAATTTGTGAATGTAAAATAAAAATGAATGAAAATCTTGGCGACTAGATCGCGACGAATTAAGTCGCGTGAAGTCTGTCTGGGGCCTTACGCGACATCAAAAAGCACACAAGCAAAAGCATGCAATTCAAATTTAGTAAGGTGCAATAAAAAGGATCCTGGAGCTCACCATAAATTTGTATCATGCCTTCGAGTCCGGAGACAGAGCTGGAAAAGTATAGATTGTTAGAATTCTCTGTCTTCCACAAAAAGAATGGTTGTTTTGAGAAAATTAAAAAGGGAAAGCTGTAATATATAGTAAATTAAAAGAAATTGTTGAAAGGAGGGCAACAACGCTGGAGTAAGCTTTTCAAATCTTTATTTTGGCGGTATCCGACTTGGAGTTTTCTATTCGGCTCCCCTTTCTCAGACGAAGACAAGAAAAAGTTTTTTGCGACAGTATCAAAGATCGCGGAAAAGATCTAGGTCTAAAAAAAGGCAAGTTTACTGGACCATTTTACTAAAAGTTTGTGACAGATTTTCGAAGGCATATTTGTGCTTATGTTGCTTTTCGGAAAACCGAATTCCATTTGAAATTCTCCAACCGCATCGTTTTTCCGAGTTTACCTGGAAAAGATTTATCAGCAAAGGCATAATTGCAAGCAACTATGATCAGCTGTGACGACATGTAAAATGCGACAAGAGACATTGCTACAATACGAGAAATAGCAAAGAAACGCGAAGGAAAGGAAATAAATTGATTGCGAACTTTGACTAGGGGCGGCGTCTATCGCGCTGTGACGCCAACCGTCTGCTCCGATTCAAATTTGAATTCGACCACCGAGCGACTAGTGGTTTGAGGACCTCTATAAAACGCGTTTTTCGAGCCGCCACCATCGTTGCAACTTCAACTACAACAGCAAGAGTGTCCCAATTAAGGTGCGTTTTACCATCTATCTTCAGCTGCAGCTGATTCATTCAAATAGAACGATGAAGATGGATGCGATAAAGTGCGGTTCATGATTATACAAAGACCCCAAATTGAGAAGTTTCTGGACTTCTTGGAAGAAACTCAAAAAGCCGTTGGTACCACGCGAAAGAGCACAGCCGAAAACGGTATACGACCCACAAGAATGGAAATCAATATCAATCTTAGGAGTGTTTTTGCGCCTAATTCGAGTTTTGAGCGGCTTATAATTATACGAACACCTCTCAAACACAGGTCCATTTTTCATTCGCAAGTTCAATCTTTCGGATCCCAATTTTTTCTAGAATTACAGTAACAAAGTCTGAAACATCTGCTATACATTGAACCCATTGCAGTTCAGAAAAAGGAGCGTTACTTATTCCAGATGGCTCTAAATGCTTTTGGAGTCGTTGCGCTCCAAAAACATTCGTTTTTTGTGATTACGCACTCTAATCAATCTAATCAGCTTTTACCAAGTCTTTGAGATAAAATAAGCTCCTTTGGTAAATATTTTGTTTGGCGCTCGGAAAATATTTGCATTTTCGTGCCGTTCTTCAATCAAGTTCTAACCTTACCCTAAAGTTGGCACGATTTCGAGTCTCAAAACTCAGCTTCTGTCTCGCGCAAACATTTGATATGAAGCAGCTGCATTATTTGCATGATGATGTATTCGTGCTAAAGTTTTTGGGTTTTATTCACAACTAGTCTTGAGGCTACAGAGCTAAAAACGAATGAAGGGGGATTGCAATACTAAAAACAGTGGTTTTGGTAAAATGACGCCTGCGCAGCCAAAACAAATGCTCCACGTTGCTGATTCATCCTAGCCAATTACACGGTCCTGTGAACTTCTACACAGTATGAGCTTACTTCATTGTAGGGCTTGAGAAGCTGAGTTTTGAGACTCGAAATCGTGCCAACTTTAGGGTAAGGTTAGAACTTGATTGAAGAACGGCACGAAAATGCAAATATTTTCCGAGCGCCAAACAAAATATTTACCAAAGGAGCTTATTTCATCTCATAACTTGGTAAAAGCTGATTAGATTGATTAGAGTGCTTAAACCACAAAAAACGGACGTTTTTGGAGCGCAATGACTGAAAAAGCATTTAGAGTCATCTGGAATAAGGAACGCTCCTCTTTTTGAACTGCACTGGGTTCAGTGTGTAGCAGAAGTTTCAGACTTTGCTACTGCTCTAAAAAAATTGGACTCGAAGTTGCACTCGCGAATGAAAAATGGACCCTTGTTTGAGGTGTTCGTACAACTATGAACCGCTCAACATTCGCATTAGGCGCAAAAACACTCCTGAGATTGACAATGATTTCCATTCTTGTGGATCGTATACCGTTTTCGGCTTGCCCTTTCGGTGATACCAAAGGCTTTGAATTTTTGCAAAAGGTCCAGAAACTTCTCAAACTTGGGGTGTTCGTATAATTATGAGCCGCACTATATCTATGGAAGACAACTTTGCTACCTTGGCTTTGCGGGCATGTTTTGCTTATAGATCACCAGCAGGAACACAATTAGTGGCAGCCAAGCTTTTTGATGCGTGCAACACATTAGACTTCAAATCACCAGAAACAAGACCAGATAGGTGAAAGTAGAGGAAACCCTTAGACAAGCTTGACCATAAAACTGAATGATAAAGTATCGACCGCGTACCTCCTATGTTTATCTCGGCCAACTATTATACTACAATGTCCGCGTAATTGTGACAAGGGTACAAGATACTTCGGGATGGCATGGATTGTTTTCAGCGAAACACTGACATTTCTCACTAACAAATATATGGCTGTTTATCTGAAGCGTCGTAATTTCAATACCATAATTCTGACATATGTATGGCTCTGAAACTTGGACTCTACCAGAAAAGTTGCTAGCGAAGCTTCTCCGATGCCAAAGAGTAATGGAGAGATTGGTGTTTGGATTTCGTTTGAAAAACCAAAAATCGGCAATCCATGACAAAGCTCAAGGACGCTGTTGCGATGTCACGGAACTAAAAATGGCGATTTGCCAAAAAATACTTGAGTGTCAAGAAGAAGGAAGATGGATAGCAACTTCAACAAATTGGATAACAGCCATCGGTCGATGTTAGAGACGGCAGACCTGGGGCGGTATGTAACAATCGCCCGTCAGGGTAAGTTATCCGGACAGATAGTTTCCGCTTCATAGCTCGGTGCTCTGGGAATCTGTGTTCTTCCTTCTTCGTTCATCTATTGGAGGCTCTACTACCCTAATATTGTAGCACAATGACTAGCAGCACTTTGCTGTATAAGCTGAAATAATTCGTTATTTGTATGATCTCGAACGGGATCTCCCACTGATCACGCTCATTTTCAAAGTTATTTATTAGGTCGTGTAATAAGTTCTGTCCCATTTTTTGTTTTAATTTTTTCTCGACAACATTGACTATATTTGAGACAAAGTGTATATGCTTTTGAAAGCTCTAAGTCTGCTCTACAAGCTCATACACATCATTCAGCAATATAATAGGAAATTGAAAAAGATTTTCATCATTGGAAAAAATCCAAATAGCCGAAAAAGCAATTTTCGACATCTTTTTTCCTCCAAATTTTTCTCGATTTTCATTGGTAAAACTTATGAAACAAGCTTGACAACAACCAGAACAATCTATTAGACTTTTGCACTTATTCTATCAATGTTTGCGCATGTTCCCTTTCTTCCACCGGCTATTTAATGACATTTTTTAAGAAGTCGGCAAGGCAAGACTTTGTCACGGCGATGTTCGCCGTCCCGCGTACCCAAGCTGTGTGGCTCCCAAAATTCGAATTTTCAGAATTTAACCTACGAATTCGATAATTTTGAAGCCACAAACCATCCCTTCTGTCTTTTCTGAATGATCCGCCTACCGTCTTCCCTCAGGATGCCTTCAGACAATGCCCAACACCAACGTTGAGAAGGCGTTAGAAAGAAGAATTTTCTAAAGTCTACAAAAATGATTTTTGAAAAGCTTCAAGACTCCTGAAGCGCATTAGAAGCTAGAGCATTCTCTGCTTACGTGTAGCAAATTTTTCGAGCTTATTCATAGGCATTCTGACTAATTAGGAAGGCGACGTAACGTAGTTGTCGAAAATGGACTTTTTCCTTGTTTGATTTTCCGAATTTGACGCTGTAAAACTTTTCCAAGTCATCTGATGTAGAAAACCGAAATGAAAGTTTCAGTA